GATTCGAAGCTTTTGTGTATGGTCTTATCGTTATTTCTTTTTAAGAAGAAAATAAAAGCATGTAAGTAATTTACATGCAACATGTTGCAGTCTATTGTAAATTCTATTATAGATGATGTGAAGTTGATTTTCCGTCTCCGTGCGTCAATAAGTTAAGGAACCCCGTTCTCCTGCTATCTGACGACTATTTATCCTTAGAAAATACGTTATAACAGCTGAAAATATCTCAGCGAAATTTAGATTTGGCAAAGTATTACTGTTTTATCTAAAAAATTCTTTCTTGGATCCAACTGGTAAAAGGAAGCAATTCATAGTTGTTAATATTAGTATTTATCAGATTTAATGTGACCAGAGATAGACAAAGGTCTTGATAAACACCGACTTCTTTGTTTACATATCCTCGTCGTATGCTTATAGGTATTTTTATAAAAGAAGGGTAAAAATAATATATTTAATGTTAAAATCCCACACCGCTATGTTTCGAGTTTTATGTCCGGTATCGCCTTTAGGCATAGTTTCATCAGACGGCTGTCTGACTCCTAGCACAAAACGATATCTATCGATGCTCGGTCCTGGATCTAGACCACAACGTATCCCCAGTATCAGCAGGAAAATACGTTACCTACCAAGCGATCACATGAAGTTAAAATTTTATACCTAACGCTTCGTTAATCGTAGTTATGTCGCACTTAGCTTATGCCGAGCCAGATGGTAAAAACAAAGTTTGTATGGTATCCACAAAAGGCAATTGAATTCATAGAACAACTGGAAATAAATATTTGCAAAGTATTGCAATCAGTCTAACGGCATTTGTACTTCCGCAAGCAGTTATTATAATACCTCTTAGTATCCATACATTGACAAACACTGAAAAATGCGTATTTCTGAGGTGTTCTTGATTAACCCTTTGTTAAACCTACGCAAGCATGCTCCTTCAGTTCGGAATAGGACATTTAGGTGTATACAAAAAAATGTTCCCCTGATTTCCAAAGACACGTAATATAATTATTTCTTCGTAAGTTTTGCGCAATAGTTATACGTACTCTTGCTATTGCAAACAAAAAACAGTAATGCCATATGATTTAGACACATCATCTATTACGTGAAGTTACTGATCACTCAAGTAGCAACAGTACTACATACAGTTGAACCTTGCCCTCCCCATGAAAACATTAACCCATCGATCTTGTGTTAATTTGGTAAACAAAATCTATCGGATTGAATACACTTTATCCTATGAACTTGCTAGATCTCTGTCCTATTTTTTTTATAACATTCTATTTATCTTGTTATGCATAGGTTGATCACAGCAACCACCTACCTTTCTGAAGCCTAAATTGAGCTGTAGGAGACATCTACGAATTAGCAAACCCCAGAGAGGAAAGTGGCTACAGAAGTTGGCTATCGCCAGACTTCACCCGTCACGAGGCACGACAGTCCCCCCACAGTGGTTCAAACTGAACAATCGTTGAAAGAAGACGACAACTGCGATTATTGCGTCTATCGCAAACCGCTCATACAATTACAAAGACAAGCAAAAAAGAAAACGAGAAAAAAACAAGGCACTTTCAAGGACCTCATAATAAGAGTCAATAGAGAACGTTGGATAAAAGGATTCTAGGCAAGGGAAACATGATGACGTACCTATTAGTGATTCTGATTCTCTTGGCCGCCAGTGAGTAGAAATCGCATACGCGCACGTATCCATCCATCCATCCGCTGTGGCTAGAGTGCTGCTTCTGCTTTCGCTTGTGATGTTCACTGGGTGTGGGAAAGTCCTCTTTGTTTAATGAAAATTGTATTGTAGTTGAAGAGATGACAAAGTAAAGGAGAAACTCAACCGGGAAAGGCACGATGGGTAAAGATGAGTGGCGCAAAATTTGAAAGACGATGGATCGGGTTACGAATACCGAAGGGAGAACTCAAAGATACAGGGAGCTCAAAAAAAGGCCTGGAGTAATGGCGTGGGTAATGTACAGGATTGGATGCATCTTTCAACGTTAAAAGGTGTAGATGATTTGAAAAATCGGACATTACCGGCTATGTCATTCGATTCCGAAGGTCTGCAGACCATGAATGCAGAAGGCCGAAACGGCCGAGAAAAGTTAGAAGGCGACAGGTAACCAAACATATCTTTTATCGTGTCTCCTGTAATCAGCTTTATATGTTTTGTTCCCAAACCGCGTGTAACTTGCCGACGGAATCCAATGTAATGAAAGGAAGAAATCGGTAGACTCCCTTCAGCCCCCTAAACCACCCCTCGTTCCACTGCTTTCTTTCCAGCCTTCGTTCTTTTGTTTCTAGTGGAATCAGGGACCTGTCCGCCAAGCCGTCGTCGCCGCCACCATCGATAGTCAAAGTACCCAAAGCAAACGTACCTTCAATAACATTCCATGAAAACACTTTCAATGTGCGGCTCTGCTTGTTAGCTGAAAGTGACATCTCTTTCCCTTACCCCTAAATAGCTCAGGAGGAGCAGGAACCATTACGCGCCGTGAGATTCTTTTTTTCTTCAATTTCTTGAGTAAAACAACTGTATTTTCTTCAACAAGACTATTTGTAGATATTATCATGATTCATCTGTACGTGTACATTGTCTATAATATATATAAGTGTGTCGTAAGTAGCCTTGCTTCGATGTTATGCTTCCAACATTGCCACCATCCTTCTGAGCCATCATTATGCGCGTGGCAGCAACCTGATAAGTTTCATTCTGTGGAGGTGCACTTTGGCCTCTGACGGATCTTAGTGACTCATTTTCCACAGCATTTTCCAGAACGGCAAGGCAAGACACACGACTATGTCCGTCATCTTACACGGCTGCTTGCCCGCGCGCCCGCCATCGCTTCTCATTTGTCCGTGCCTGATGCACTCGCTTGGCCTAGCAATCAGCTTGAGGCTCGTTGAGTTTCTAAGTCATCTGTAATCCTTCTTCATCCCCGCATGCCGCTCCTGTTACAATTGTTGGCTGGGGCTCGTTTCTTGTTTTTGTTCCACCAAAGCAGTGACCAACCAGATGGTGCCCTCTAATCCAAACGGCATGGCGACGGCGGCCAGACATAGCGACAGTAACGACAGCAGAAACGGATAGGACGATTGCACAAAAGGCCAAGCGCTCCGTCGTCTGACTTGCCTTTCACTAACCCCCGCTATTTTGATCTTCGTCTCACTTTTTCTATCGCTCGCATTGCTCCTCCTGGTCTTTTTGCTTTTTCATATCTTGCTCCTTTTTACGCATTATCTTGTTCAACAAATTAACTAGCACGCAGTGGCGGTATGTAAGCGGCGGAGTCAACAACATGGACACAACATCGTCCAAAATGGAGCAGACAATCGATGACAAAGCGCTCCGCAGGCCATATTGAACTTCTGGAGGCATGCGCCGCTGTTAGCACTGTCGACATTGTCTTTCGAAACCGGAGTCGGCAACTGCCGAAGGCGAAGCAGGTTAGAAGGCCATGGGTGGTATGAAGGACTGGGAAAGGATACGGCTAGGGTTGTTTAGAAGTGGTGGTGGCGGCTTGCGAACTTTGCCATTGTAGTCACTGCCGTAGATTCCACCGAGGAGGCTGCTGCGCGGGTTTTGCAATGTCTTCCGCAGAGGTCTCTGCTTCATGGGCATGGATAAGGAGAGGAAAGGACAGAGCCTGTTGTGTAAGCAGCCAAAAGGCAAAAGAAGGCTGGAGCCTTTCTGTTGAAAGAAGGCTGGAGCCTTTCTGAAAGATTGTACTCGCCGTCGGTCGTCGTGCAGAGTTTGAGACTCTACGAGGTCCCATCAGAACGAACAGGTAGGTCCTTGTTCCTACTTGTCCCATTGATGCTTCCAGGTGTTAGATGGGAGGTAACTTCAGGGATGCTACCACTCCGCGTGCGCATCGGTCCAACGTTTCGGCCCTTGTTGCGGGGCCTTTCCGTCGGGAGACCTTCCCAGCGTATTCTCCAGTGCAGTGGCTTTGTTTCTCTTCAAGCTTACCTATTCAGTAGATTCTTAGATAATTCCCTACAATTATTGCCTCGTAATTACCAGAAGTTATCATCGCTAACTCGAGTTGGATTCAAGGCATACGTATATCGTACACTGAGAGGCTTTACAAGCACCGCGACGAACTCTTCTGCTCTCAGCGCTTCGGAGGGTATCAAATGCAATATATCTTAAGAAGCAGGTTAGCGTTCTTTCTATAAGGCCAACACCAGCTCCAGTACGCGTCATATACGTCATCATTGTATTATCTATAGTTCACTAAAGGATATATTCATCAATAATTACAACTGCAAAACTAATTTTTAAATTGCATACAGTTGTTTCTACACGAAACTGCCAAATCCTTATAGCTGAATAAGAGTACACATTTGAATCTTTTATGTGATCGCAATAGGATCGATTTTATTTGCTTACCGAAATTTATGTATAAAATATTTATTCGCTGAGAAAGTTCTCTATTCGGGGAGCCGCTGTTATTTATACGCAATGTATAGGCATGTGTCTGTCTGCGTTCAAAAGGCTCGTTGCGTATCAACCGAGACGTACTATAACAGGAAATAAAGCAAACTATAAAGGATCGGGTGGTCATTTCCGCTCTGTCACGCATGCTATATCATCACATATTACTTCGGGTCGTTCCTGTCTTTTGCACTGGCGCTCCTCTCGCATGCCTAGATAAACATTAAAACTAAGAACGGTTATATACGGTTGTAACGGGCAGCAGGGGTGACGGGACTTGGCTAGCTTATCTAAGATGCCCTATGAAAGCCTCAGGAATTACTGATGAAGCCAATAAGTGGTGGTTCTAAGGGCGATATGGATTTTTCTCATAAGACGCAATACCAATCCTCGTTCAGTGACAACAATATGTTGGCAAAACGTCTCGACTTCGTTTGTACGTTGTAAATTCTGGTTTGATTTCGGTCTCATATATACTACTGCTCTATATGTCATTCATCTAACTCGCACTAGTTGCATAGTAACAAAAAGAATACCTATTAAATAAGTTCACGTCAAGTAACATAATTTTATATTAAACTTTGGCTGTATCATCATTTTTCTTGTTTACTGTTTATTCATTTATTCATACTTATCATCAGTATTACTGTTTATGTACGACGGGTGTGTATGATCTTGTATGTACAACGGGTGTTGTGATCGGGGTCCGTATCGACTTTATCTTCGTCCTACTCGTCGTGAGTCTCTTCATTGTTATCGGAAAAGTTTTACCTCTATGTTTCATTTGATTTTTCACGATTTTATTTATTATCATTATTACTTCATTACACGGAGACGTCTTTCTATATTTTCATGTATTTCGCTTATATTTTTGTAGGCCATCTGTATCATATTACCGTTGTTTATTGGAAGAGGGGGTTCTATTTATGACTGAGGCATCTGGACCGTTATGCTGTTTATTTATCCTTAGATATCGTGGGGTGTCCTGTGATGATGTAGTTAGGAGGTTTTTTTTTCTGTTGTCGTCACATTATCATTGGTTCACAGTATTCTATCAGTCGTCGTCGTCGTCGTCGTCGTCATCATCCTCATCATAATTGGAATTCAAAAGTACACGACAAACTGACAATACGTCTTCCGTAAGTCAAAACCAACCAGAATATATGTCGACTCCGGAAAACTGGACTCTGAAATACGATTCGAAGGATAGAGCCGTGTTGTAAGTTTCATTTTTTCTTGTTTCTCCACAGCTTTTGAGCGCAACGCCGGAACATACTTAATCGGCGTATAAACCAACACGATAGAAATATTTCTCGTCCAACGTAATTATAAATGACGATGTCGAACGCCCTGTTTATGAATTACGTATTTCAATTAGTCTTCACCGTTGTTACTGTTGTGTTTTCTGTTGTCCTGTTCTATACTATTCAATTCTATTTTGGTTCCAGGAGAAGGCGACAGACATTGCCCTATCCCTGCAGTAATCAACGGTTTCGGGTTCTATTTGTTAATTTGGTTTGCGAGAGTCATTCTCCTGAATTCAGCTCAACTTAATTCACCGAATACCGTATCTGTCTGTCTTAAGCCCTAGTAGAAGCGGCCGTACGTCGTCATCAGGATGACGAACAGTGCAAATACTTGTACCGTCACACCTGCAAACATACACAGACACAGTTATTAGCGGACAAGACGAAATTAACTACCGACACTGTCAGGACCCAAATACGAAACCCATGTAAAGTCTGTTCCACACTAGCAAATTAATGGATGGACCCAAATCGTGCAGCGTGACACCGTTTTTCTTTTATCTAATCCATAATTAATTAAAGCCATGCTAGTCTGCGTATGATCAGGCTGACAGCTGGTGCTTCAAACAAATATTGTACCAAATTTGGCGCTTCCACAATCAGATTGGCGCTTAGAAAAGCGGTAGAATTGCCAGTAATCTAAAAATAGCCGTCACAGTCAAGTGGCAAAAAAACGACTCAGCCGATTGTGACTGTGTGACATTAGTACTAGTGACGTTACTGGACGGACAAGTTTCAACTCGAGAAAGTGGTGTAACCGATCTTATTCACGCTTATTGAACATTTAAACAGAACACTTAAATTTACAACTTTAACTATGACAAAGATTACTAAGGCGCAGACAGGAGGATCATCTGGCGTTTGATGAATCACTCATCGTTCCTTTTGGTATTCAAACGTGTATGGGAAAAAAAAATGGAGAATCGAAGTTTTTCTACTATTTTTTAGTTTAACTATTTTTAATCTGTTGCACATACATTGAATCTATACGTTCTACGTTCCGGGAACAAAACTATCGTTTTGCACAAGTCAAATAAGCTCATCAAGATCGACTGCATATAGAAATACAATTAACACTTATTGTTGTCCCTAACAAAATTGAGCACGTTCAACATTAGAAAAAGTATAATCTTAGCAAAAATTCAGCAAGTTGACATTATCAGCAGTGAAATGTCGCCAGTAATGCTGAGAACTTGATTATTTACTTTTAACCCGATCACATAATGAGGTGCTCCACATAACATGTTTTATGTAATACTAAATTACTTGATGGATTTTTGTATAATTAACATAATTATTAAGTTACTTAGATCTTATCTTATGAAATAAGGTTCGAATTAGCTATGAATGCGAGCGGGTCTTCGGTGATTCATAACTTCTATCGGACTGTTCAAGCACAAGATATCAATCATCAGATGAAATTGGTAGCAGATTTATCGGTGCATTGAGGAAATGACAAAAAAAAGAGCCTGCTTGTCTCTATCGTTGGCGCAGGCGACGTATGGATGAGCCTCAAAAAGTTATGGCGAAAAAATTATGAATTAAACCTGGCAGGGCTTAAGCCCTATAATATGTCCTGAATAATGTTCCGACACAAACATAATGTGTATTATTAAAAGATAGATCAGTAGAATTATTATTAAGATTAAGAACACCTGATATTTCTTAACTAAGCATTCGGGGAAATGTCATGTCTTTTATAAATCTGCTTGCAATTAAAATCCTAGAGATGTAGATTCGCGTTTCCACTAAAACATACAAAACCCCCCAAAAAGTGCAGTAATTTATTACAGTGTGGACAATTGATGTTGGACCAACATTGTTACTGAATTGGATGTGTTATACTGGCACGCACAGATAGCACCTCGTTATATTTCTCTTATTTAACTAAAAATAAGTGTAGCTACTTTGGGTTTACCGTATTCGTATATACGCTAGGCACACGTGGATAAGTAAATAAAGCAACGTTTGCGATATGAACTGCTGGGAAACAGCGTCTCGCTGGAACTTACGCCAGAGGCCATTTATATGGACAATCATGCTATCCTGCTTAGATTTTCCTATAGCTGATCTGGATTAGATCTTATAAGAGTGACTAAACGCGATATACTACTGGCTTGAATTGAAAATATTACCGTTGGCCTTACGCGTCGATGCGGCATTTCGCGGCCGTACGTTATCTTATGCTAGGCCTCGCCTGTTCCCGGATGCTTTCCATACTATCTGCTGTGCTTATTTTTGTAGCGTTATCGTTTTAGCTGCTTCTGTTACCTCTCTGTGATGCATCTTTGATAACTGTACATCCATTCGACGGCCGCAGAGAGAAGGTAAGTTCCATCATAAATATTCGACACGTATCGGTGAACCGCAAAAGCATAACGGGCGGTAATGGTTCCGTGGGCGATGGCGACAACTGTAGCTGTGATTGTCTCGGCGACAGTATAATTTCATATTATACGAGAACAAAACGTGCAAAAAAGCAGAAAGCAAGCTGGGGGCTTGCGGTCGGTCGTTTCGGCGGAGCGAAGTGGTAGAGTCACTGGGCAAAGTCACATGAGCTAAGAGAAAAGAAGCAGACGTGTTTCTTACACAAATGAGTGCTTCCCAGAGCTGATAGTAAGTTGGCAAACCTAATATAGCATAATGAATATAGTCCCTTTTGAAACAAAACAATAGACTCATCATATATACACCTCTTGGGTTGCCCCATGTCGCAAATGAGTATACTGTTAAACAAGAAGCATAATCAAGTTCCAATTCAGGAAAACAGGAGATACGATTGGGAAATTATAGTACTACCTCCAAGGTCGTTTAAAAGTATATTTTCGATGATCCCTCTGTTTCTATCAAGATGTTAACGAAGGAACTTGTTGTGAGTTCGCATATGACGTTATGGATTGTCCACGAAGACCTCAGATACACGTCTTGTGTCATAAAAATCAGACACATGCTCACTGAAGATAGTAAAGACAACAAATTCTGTCGGTTTTGTTTGCTACCCAACTGCCTCAAGAATGAAGTAGCAGGTTATCTTGCAACCTTTTCTGACGAGAACATTTTTGTATTCGATACAAAAATTAACCTCTGAAGCGATTGCCAACTTACCCACAATTCAAAGGATGTGTCTACCTGGCAGAGAAAAAATTTCGATTTAAGTTAGTATCCTAAGTGCGGTGTTTAGTGGAAGAGACATCCTGCCACCACTTTTTTCCCAGAAAGACAAATTTCTTAAGAATGAGCGCGGGCGACCGCCAGGCAACAGGTTTGATTCCCTTAAATTATTACATATAAATCGTTGGTAAACGGAAGTCCAACGAGCCTCGAACTTCTATCTATTCTAGTTGCAAAAAGAACCTTTGAAACGAGTTCACGAATGGTTTAGGACGCGACCTGAAGCTACTCCTGTGATCGATAATGGTTATATCAAACAGCATGACCGTCATTAGCACTAAGTAGCATGTGCGGAATAGCTCGTTGCAATAACGATTTTTGCTAAGATCCGGTCCTAGAAACAACAAACCATATAAATTTAGACGCGTTCTCCTTTAGATTAATGTCGCTACTTAATGGGTGCTGTTACTTGGCAGGTATATTCAACATGAACCCGTTCATGAACTTCAGCACGATCTTTCTCCCACATGTCGCCTACACTATAGTATTTGCCCTTCGAACCACGTCTATTAACAAAAAAAAAAAAAAAAAAAAAAAAAAAGTCATAAACATTGTTTTGGTGGCATGCAGATATGTAATATAGTATCTATATAGAAGTATAGTAGTGGTCGAACCTGGAATTGAATAGACGCTTAGGGTTACATCGGCATGATAGGGTGTTAAACGGCAAGCTATCTATATTTTGGCGACTTACCATGATATTTTCTCAAGGATGGTATACAACTAACATTATGAACATGACGAATTCTTCCGCTTTCTGAAATTAGGGTAATTATAGTTAGTCAAAATAGTCTGACGAGTAAATTTACAAACGGAAGTATAAAAGCTGGTCAAGATAAAGCTTCGATCATCCCCGAACTCTCAAACGAAGATCAATGGAATCAATAATGGATTGTAGGAGCAATGAAAATAATCGATTGCCTCATTTGTTGTTGTCTATACCTAGGTAAAGCTTTTTCATAACGTAAAATTGGACCGCAAATTTGATTTCAATCAGCTGTCGGTTGGTAACGACAGTTAGAAGGTGAACCACGATTTAGCTTGTTCTTACGTATATTTCTAAACGTAAAGAGTTCGTATAGACGGCAGATCTTTTTGCGTGTATTTGTACAACGATAGCTATTATGACACGACGGTGGTTAATTGACGCCACACGAACACGTATGATGTCGTGAGCAAGCTTGGTAAAAAAATTGACAACAATATGAACGTTGTTTAGTATATCTGAATATTAACAAATTACCGAATTTTCGATAAGCAGTATGATACATGACAATTATTTACTATATATATGCGATAGTCCCTTGATTGTTTACATCCTCTACGCCTAAATTTCCGTTAGCGGCAGAGTCGGCGGGAGGCAAACAACAGGCAATCGTTCAGATCAACAGGCACTTCTGACGACTAAGAATCAAGGGACCATGCATATATATATATATATGCATCTACAAATACATAAATACAACACATAGACATAATTTATGGTTTTTATGTGCCAGTCTAAATGTATTGATTAATTAATCAAGAAATGAATCCATATTTTATTCAGGCATTCAGTAGAAATACAGCTACGGTTAAAGTGCAAAATTCTAGTAAGGGGAGTGACCCCCCGGCCCCCGGCCCCGTGTATGCTGATGATTCAAAAGTACCAGTTCGGCTCAGTTCGCTCGTCCCATGCGCCTACTATGGATCTAACTATTATATTTAATTGCCATCATTATTGGCAGTGCTTCACGGTAATTTCTTAACTAACTTAGTATTACTGCAGAGCTGAATACCGTGTTATAAACAAAACCGTATTGTCTTAGGATTACGGTTTACGTTTGTGCGTACTCGCTGCGTATACCTCGACATTACCAATACCGGATAAACGAATGCATGTCACATGTAGCTAAGCGTAAGTATTTTTTTTTTTTTTTTTTTTCTAGTTTAAGAAACTATTCAAGAAAAATAACTTGCCAACACATTATGAAGAAACAAAAAGACAATATGCAATAGTATATATATATATATATATCTTATTAAATATAAATCATTGTGACCGTAACAGCAAATCGTCAGTAAGTTTTTATTCATCTACGAACCTTCACGTGCAACACTGTCTCGTCTGATACAAACTTAACAACAGACAGCTGACACTCAGTAGTTGAACGGCGAATAACGTTGGTCGCCGATCGGCACTCGAACCTCTCACTGAATGCGACGGCGGTCTGGGCTTGGGGTCGTCCACTATCCGGGTAAGGTGCCCAGATAGGCGCGCAAAGTTGACAGGGTTTAGTTTTGTTAAAGATTAAGTCGACTTTGCTCTTGATTAAATGCATTTCTATCTTGCACTTACGGCGCCCGATCTTCAATCAACATTCAACAACCCGCTCGTAGCTAACGGACCTCGTCGCCGAGACCCGTTGTCCATGCTTCCATAAATACACTACTACATGCTGTATTATGACGTATGATGAAGGAAATATTCATTTGCTATGAATGCGGACAGAAAGAGGCTGCGTAAGAAATTGCGACCTCTATTTCTCAGTTTTAAAGCACAAACTTAAACGAGTTGTTTTCTTCTAGCTATAATTAGCAGAACTATAATTGAAAAACATCGACTACTTTGCAAGACTGTGAAACAACCTATAGAGTACTGAGTACGTTTGCAGAGATGTCGTATACAATATAGCTTCAATGACAGCTATTAGATATTAGCGACTCAACAGAGTGACTCAATTCATTTTGGCACTCTGCGAGCGTGCATGTAAGCAATGATGCGGTATAACTTGTAGCATTCCATGATTTCATCACATTAGCTTTCTAACACCCGAAACACCGAATAAAAATCATTGTATGGCACTGAGTAAATCTGCGATTTGACCCATTATACAGGTGACTCACTCCGTACTCAAATTAATTTCCAGGCAAAAAAGTAATGATTATCGGCAAGCGTAACACATGCACGCAGCGAACCTACCATGGACGCCCCGAAATTGGTAAAAAGCCTCAAAGCCGGTACCGTCGAACTTGTCGTTCGAACGAAAGGCAACTCGGAAGAAGTCCGAGTCAGATTCGATCTTGTTCGGCTTCATGTTACCGCAATGGCGAGGAATTTTGCGGTCAACAGTTTTGAAGTTGGAAAACTCAACATAATCAGACGCGGTGTCCGAGGTACACGGCGGCACTCCCTCCACGTCAAAGTAGGCGAACTGTAAAACGAGCATCACCTAGTTGGTTCGTATAAGGTTGCCAGTCTCATTTCTATGTACCTTCAGAAGGTTAATAACATCAGCTATTACTTCTATAATCAGTAACTCATCTTTGTTCACTAATATAACTTAAGCCTACGTGTTTACGTGCAAGCAAAACTTGATGATCTTCTATGGGTAACGAAGTTTTGTATCTATGCTATTATATTTTTTGTCTTTTGAAGGAGCTTAAGTCAGTGTCGTCGTTGGCGAACATTTAGCACTTTAACGTCGAAATATTACATGTAATATCGAAGACGAATTTGGATATAGGACGTTTTTTTATTATTACCTTATTACGTAGTCCTTTACATAAGCTTAGTATAGACAGGCCTCTTGGGAGATTGTTTTGTTCGAAATTAATTATATATTGTGGTGTGGGCACCAACGATTACAATCAACCGATGTACTTACCTGAATATGAATCTTTTCTTTGTCTTTTCCATAAAACAGATAGTGGCACTCAGTATCTCTAGGATAGACCCCGGGATAATTTGGCGTTGTAAACGTCCCATTAGAAACTTCGCTACTGTTATAGATAAACGTGCAGACGCCTTGCGGGTCTTGACGGCCCGAGGGAATCCCGAAATCTGTAAGGTAAGACGTGAACATGTTGGTTAAAAGATAAGGGTCTGGTTGACGTATTCTCAATAAAAGGCAAACTCCGTCAGCCTTCGCTGATATAACGCAGCTCGGCAGTCGGTTTCTTCTAACATGAAACCTATCATCTAAATCACTCTGACCGACCTACATTACTTTCATGCGTAGAGAGCACCTAAAGAGAACTCACCTAAAGTTATCTAACTCAAGATGGCGCCAACAGCTATTCTGCCCTGACCCCTTGCCTACCCTAGCCGCACGCTTACTATTCTCGGTGTAGCCATTTACCAGCCTCCTGTCTACTAGGCCAAAATAGTGCTTCAGTAATACTAAAAGTGAGCTCTCCCTAGAAACAAACACATTGCAGGCAGCTATCAAGTGGGACCGCGAACCAGACTCAAGTAAAGTCTATGACTTTAACTTGCACCCATCAAATGGAACCAGCACGTATTTGACCTCATGTGTATATTTTTTTTTGCAGTAGTGTATGTGGGTAAATACCCAAACATTTATACAAACATCTGTGTGTAATAGACATTTATTACATAGTGTTTATAGATGGCGTGGGCAAAGACTATTGTTTGCAACCGTTGGCCAATGTCACTACTGCTGGAACCGCCGTTGCGTTACCAGAGCAATGAGAAACATTCGGTGAGGGCAGGGCTAGGTGGGAGCAAAAAGGAAAGCGAAATAGTGAAGGAAAAACTCACTCGAGATGGTCCTTTTGTTTTATACTGTACTGCGCGGATATCGACGCTACCTAACTTTTTCTTTCAATACCCGGCGAAACGATTTCTGGCTCACCGTGATGTTGGCTACGAGCGGTCCTGAACAAACGAACGGATTGTTGGCCAGATTCTTAGAAAAACTTTTCCTGCCCACGAAGGATGACACAGTGCACTAGCGGCGGCAGCGCAGATCTGAACCTGACAGTAATAGATCTTGTTGAGCTGGCGGAACAACTATCCGATACAAAGAACGAATCCGGCAGCTAGTCGGCTAAAAAGCCACCCTTCGACCAGTAAGCCCCATTTAGCAGACCCCCTATGAATTTTTTTCGTACTTGAGTTCTTGTTCTCCCAATGAGTCAATCATGCTGTTATGGAGTCGCAGAGTTGCAGAAGCCGCAACGCGGCGCAGCTAGCTTCAGCGCATCTCAAGTGCGTACGCCTCCATACTCTTTAGGTGTATAACGTCGCCTAAAACGTGAAACGACGTGGTCGCGGTTCTCATTCAAGTCCCAAGCGGATCTCGGAATCGAAACTTGAGCAAGAATTAGCAATGGCACGACATCCGTCCACGACATTGCGAAGAGTCGCGCTCGAGTAGCAACGTCAGCGCCGCTCAGGCAAATTAATACCACTAGAATGAAACCAGATGGGCGCAAAAAGAAAAGAAAAAAGCAAGTTGAAGAAAAATAGCATCATCGCCGCGCATCTCTATTCCTTCGATTAGCGCTGCCAACACCTTCGCACCATTTAGCCAGCCAATGATGCTCTTGATCATCATCGTAAAGCGATCATGGATTTAAAATCAAGCAGATGAAGCAATATTTTCCAGAAATTGTGCTCTCAGGCTTGACATACAGCCGCTGACCGAAATTGTACTCGCTTGATTTATATAGGACTGAACGAGCTCGTCGCGATTAAGTCGCGAGAAAGAAAGTCATTAGTCTATAGGGCCTTATTCGTTAATTTAGTACAAAAACTACTTCACCACTTTGATGGTGATGAGCGCTGTTTTGGCTTCTGCTGTCGTCGCTGGTCATGGTTGCTGTTCTAATAATTCAACATGTAGAACGGTAAGTGAAAATAGAGATGACAGAAGTTCGGAGGGTGGGGGAAATTTCAGTTCACGCATGCTCGCCCTGTTGTCATCGAGACCCGTTGAAGAACGAAAATGGAAACTATAGATGAAGACCTTAAAAATATGTTAAATCAGCAGGAAGATTGTCATTGACGCCGGCAAACTATAACGATTCAACAACTTGCTAAATAACTTGAAGCTCCGAAACCAGTCGAAGAAGCATCGAAGAACCAGAGCTACTATGTCTACTATTACAACTGATGAGAAAAGGAGAATGACATAAACGACGCAAAAATTCGTTCATTTGCCAAATTGATGTGGGCTGGGCTGCTATGTGAAACATTTGCGCATACCTTTTGCCTAACCCAAGCCCTTTCGCTCGTTATAAGACACGTATATTGTCAGGCATAGCAAACTCGGGATGCAGGTAGTTACCTGTCCGGCTTCTGAACTGGCTTGAGCGTCAAACCATTGTTGACAACATCATCGTACCTGGTACACATATTCAGCTGTGCAAATTCTGATCTACGTGCTTTTTCTCTCTTTCGCTTTCTTTCTCTTACTGGTTTTTTGAATCAGTTTTTTTTTTTTTTTTTTAAATCAGAAAGAGAGACACCGACTGACCGGGCAGGGGATCGACTAGTAAACAGATTAGACAGTAAAGAATATCATCTTGTCGTTTAGACTCGATCTGCTTCCTTACTCCGACGCTGAACAGTTCAGGGCAGTGCGTGCACTGCTATGAAGCCGACTTTACTCTCTCCGGTGGCGTTGGACTAACTGGTTATAGTTAAATATAGAGCTGTTTCATTTCGAATCTCTGCTGTGTTACTATATATCTTTTGTTCGAAGAGCAGTAAAATCCGCGTAAGTCTGTGCGCGGATGTTGTGTCTGTGTGTTTATGTACGCAAGCTCTTCCCTTAAATGCACACTTTAGTACGCTACGAAAACAAGCAATGCCAAAAGCCAACAGACCAGTGTAACATTGGCAGGAGAGTAACTAGCACCTCATTTCGCTCGATACCTTGCGTTCATTGCTGTCCGCTCCTCAGCTGTCAGGCCACCGCCCAAAACACCATTGACAAGGTGCCTAAACATGCCTGCACTTGGTCCGCAATGCATTTTCAACCCTAGCAAGTAGGTGCTTTTAAGAAATCCGAACAAATGCATGGCCATAGAGCTACCTTTGTAAAGTATTTTACCGTCTACATTCGAGCACACACTGAATGCCCAGTATAACTAGAGAGATTCTCCTATGTGCAAGGCTCATTACTGATAAGAGTCCGATGACAACCCTCTTTCCTGTCGTGTCCGTACGTGCTTACCAGCTAGACCTGCGCAGGTCTCTGGCAACGAAATAAGACATCTTTTCCTATAACTTGCGCTTTACACAAGAAGACAACAACAAACACAGCTATGCCGTAGCTAATGTTACTTCAGATCTGTCTGCTACCGGCTTGAGGCTGAGGCCTTGAACGCCACTGAAACATTATTTGATGGCCTAGAAATGGTGACTCCTACAATGATTGTGTTAGTAGACTACACACCCACGCCAATGCGTATGCTGCTAAATCGAAACACTGTCACAAAAAGGAAATGATTCGTGATCTATTTGCCACTCCGCCACGTGAACAGATACAGAACAGGGAGCTCCTTTTCAAACAAAAAAAAATTCAAAATAGCCAACAAATTGGCAGAAGCAATTACGCAAAGCACTACATATGGTGGTCTTAAAATGCACAATATGCCTTTATCTAGCTTAGTTTCGGGAAAATGCATCAGCCAAAACCGTGTTTATATATA